AACAGTTTATAAGTACTGCTTCCCTGGTACTCATGACAATAAAAATAATAATAATGATGACTGATATTCATCCAGTGCTTTCAGAGTTATTATAGCATAGTGGATAGAGGACCAACCTTGAAGTCAAGAAGCCTGATGTTCAAGTTCTGCCTTTGAGACATACTCTCTATGTCATCATTTAACCTCTCAGTGTCTTGAGTAACTCTTAATGACTCTATGATACAGATGAGTCAATGATCAGTATCAGTGGTGAACTTTCCACTGGCTAACAGTCCCTTACATGAATAAGATCATAGGTCAAAGCTCTCTATTTTATTTATCTAAAACTTACAAAGCATTCCATGGATGTTATCTCATTTAGGACTCAGAAAAGCTTTGTAAGGTAACTATTTTAGCTATTATTATTCCCATTTTATAGATGACAAAAAAGGTTTAGGAAGATTACCTGACCCTTCTGTTGCTTATATGAGGCTACCTCTCTATTTCTTCGCACTAATGTCTGAATTGTTGTCATTTTTCTAGTTAAACATATAGACAAAAGCATCATCAATTTCTAATATCTTAATTTAATAGGAATATACTGGAAGTAGTATGAAGTGGTGAGGATACCAGCTTGTCATTCCATCTCAAGATGAGCCCTACCATCAATTCCAGTTTTTCATTTATGTTCCTCAGTTTGGGCACAATAAAGAACCTCTTGTTTTTACTGCCCTTAACTTTTTATATGATATATATTTAATACTGTAACATTTTAACAATAAAATGCTTTCCTATTTAATAAGTAAGTTGCTATAGAGCTATAAACATTTAAATGAAAAAGGGAAATTTGCTGCAGGTTTTAGTGCCTTTATGAATAAATCTTATGGCACAATAGCCACTTGCTGTTTTGTTTTGGGGTTTTTTTGGATATAGCTATGAACATCGTCCCTTCTCCACAGAATGAAAATAATAAGCCCAAAGTAATAGTATTAAAAATTAGTTTATAATTTGATATTAAACATAAAAACACAGGAAATTCAGTTATTTCTCCTGTTTTTATCTATCACAGAAATTGGGGGAAATGTATATAATCTTAGGTAAGAATATTTCATAAATGTTTTCAAATTTGTTTCTATTTTTTTCACAATTGCCTGAACTGAAAATGACTCCTAAATAATCAGTAAATATTAAGACAGCAGTATTAAACCCATATTTAATACAAATGCATATCTAATCCAGGATTATTATGATGCTAATTGTCTCCATTGGAGAAAAAAATCATCTAAATAATTCTGACACACATGAAAAAACTGTTCCTGGGTGCTAAAACCTGAATACTATTAGTGGTCTCATTTTATACCTGTTATAGAACTCCCTATAACCATTTAATAAGTCTTGTGAAGAAAATGCTTACTGAATAATATTTCATACAAGATAGAGGGAAGTTGCTAAATAAGTATGTTTATTCATTCAGAATTGGTTGAGTGGTCAAAACCAAAGAGTAATCACTAATGCTTAGATGTTAGCTTATCTCCATTGAAGGAGCCCTAGAATTTTTCTTGGTCCTGTGAGGCCCAACATGTTTATCACTAGCTTGTATAAAGGTACAGATGTCATGCTGATCACATTTGCAGCAGATACAAAATTGGAAGGAATAGCTAATACAATGAACAAAAGATTCAAGTTTCTAAACAAGACCCTTTAAAACACTGGGCAAAATCTAAGATGATGAAATTCAATAGGGATAAATATATAATCTTACTCTTGAACTTTAAGAAATCAATTTCATAAGCATAAGGTTTGGCCACACTGGAGTTTACCTGAAAAAAAATATCTGGTGGATTGTAAATTCAACATGAGTCAACAGAGTGATATAGTGGCCAAGAAAGTTAATGCATACTTTGACTACATCAAGAGAGGCATCATCTCCAGGAATAAAGAGAGGAGAGTACCACTGTACTCTACTCAGTTCAAGCCATGTCTAGAGTCCTGTGATAATTTCTGGGAGGTGAATATTAAAAAAGATGATCATCTTTAGAAACAAACATTTTTGGAAAAGACAAACAAATATCACAGACAAACTAGAAAGTACTTAGAGAAAGATAATCAGGATGGTGAAGACCTCATGCACAATCAGGATTGGGTGAACTGGGTATGTTTGGCCTGGAGAAAACTAAACTAGGGACATACCTATATAAAGTGTTGTGACATGGAAAAGGGACTAGGTTTGTTCTGCTTGTTCTCAAAGAGGAGAACTAAAAGGAATGTGTGGGAACTACAAGAAGGCAAATTTTGGAATGAAATAAATAAATACATCATAATAATTAGTTATCCCAGAATTTAACATGTTGCCTTGGAAAAATAGTACGATTCCCCTCACTAGCAGTCTGCCTGAAAATAAGGTATTACCACTTTTCCACTGTAGAAGTGATTCTCGTTCAAGTACTAGTTGAATTACATATGGATTTTGAGATCCTTTCTAACTCAAAGCTTCTAAAGTTCATTCAAGAATTATTGGATAAACATACAATAGTCTTGCCAATTACCATGCTAAGTTCTATAAATACAAAGGAATATAAGACAGTGATACAGGAGAGCAGACTTACAAGCACTTATAAATCACGTAGACAATATATGTTATAGGCGTTCAACAAAGAGGTCAGAACTCTATGGGGGGTCTTGGCTGTAAAGATTTCACAAAGAAAATGTGGCTTGACCTGAGTTTTGACAGAGGGGAGCATGAATGGAACATAATGGAACAATTATTATGAGAGAATCCATAGTAGAACATGTTGAGTTTGAGACATCCATGAGTGTTCATTTTTGGAAAAGTCGATCAAGATAAGATAATCAAAAGCCCTGAATGCCAGGCTGAGTTTGGGTTTTAAACTATAGAGTGGGGATATACGGAAGATGTCTGAGTAGGACAGTGACATTATAGAAGGAATTGTTTTTGACAGAGTCTACTCTGGTGGTAGGGTATAGCATAGAGAGGAGTGTGGAAACACTGGATAGAGAGAAACCAGCTAGAATACTACTGCAGCAAAGTAAGCATGGTCCCACAGAATACCTGTTGAAAATATATCACTCTTCTTGATAAAACGTGAGAAACTACAGGTGCATAATATTCTATTAAGACCGCTAGGCGCGGTTGTTTTGTCAGTTTTACTTGTTTTTATTTGTTACAAGAAAAGGTTTATGGGAGCATGTATATCAAACAATGATTTTGATGTAAAAAAAACATAAAGAATCAATAAAACGCTATAAGTCATATTGTGGTATGGTTGTTCTACTAGGGTGGTTGCAGTGGAGAATAAAAAGAAAGAGAGATATTAGAGGTATTATTAAGGAAGACTCAACATAAATTCAAGTGTGTAAGGGAAACAGCATAAATATATGTAAGTGTATGTACATACATACATATATGCATGTATCCAAAAATGTATGCAATGTGTGTTCAAATTATATTAGCTATGGATTTCTATGTTGCTACCCAAGACTACTATTTCATAATGAAACAAATAAACCATGTTTTGTTATTTCTAGGCTATCAAGCTAGCCTCCAAATCAGAGAACGTGATTTTAAAGCAAGTATTTTATTTTTGTTTTGAGATGGAGTGGGGTGGGATCTGGATCTATGATTTTATCAGTATGGAAATTCCCTCCACGTATGCAGATTAGCAACTGATCTACAACTTTACAGTCTCAACAGTGTAGTCTTGGAACTGCATACTGGGAGGTTGACTAGTCTGTGATCTCAAAGTTAGTAAGTGTTATTGGAAGGATTTAATACCAATTCAGTGCTTCTTGTATCCATGGCATCTCTCTATCCATTATTCCATGACATAAAATCACATATCACAGTGACTGGGGTGGGGGTGGGTGCTCTGGGTTCCCACAGGAAAGAATGGTTATGCTATTGACAAAGAGAAGAAATGTTAATGGAGGATTTGATTGGCAGGTGAAATGCCTTCACAGGAAGATGTTAAATCTGGCTTCAGATTTGTTGAATTTGAGATAACAATAGAATTTCCAATAGGAAATTATACTGGCAATATGGAATTAGAAGTAAAGGCTAGAGATAAAAATGTGGTAATAACTCACACTGCTGAATCAAACTAGTTGAAGCTAAGCTAATGAACTGAATAGAATAAGAGGAGAAAATAATAATAATAAAAAACAATAACCCATTTCAAGGGAGGCCTTCTCAAACTTTTCTTTGTCCTTCTAAAGACAGTCTAAATGTCATAGGTTGATAGAATAATAGATTTAGAGTTAGAAAAATTTCTGAGAATCACAGGTAATAAAATCAATCAACCCATATATACTAAGCACCTATTATGTACACATAGCAAGGATAAAAAGCAATCACTATACTATACTGCATTAATTGAACCTAATACAACCACAAATTGATATTCAGAAGGTTGAATACATGTATGCCTGTGGCAAGGATCTGGCTGATCATGTAGAAAGGAAAAGAACAAACATGGTATGGACAGTGCTATTTTTCAGTGAATCTATGCTGTTATCACATCAAACAATGATGTAAATGAAAAATAATTTTAAAAACTCTAAGATATTAGGCTATGTGCTATGAATTGTCTAAAACACAAGGGAAAATGTTAGTTATTCCACTCACCAGGGTTTCCTTATCTTTTTAATATAAGAGGGATGGGTGTGGAGAGAGAACACAGAAATTTATATAAATATTGAGGGAATCTTTTTAGCATATAGAGTACTGGTTTTTGTTTGTTTCTGTGTTTGTTTGCTTTATATCAGCCAGGTTAGGCAGTTTAGGTCAGTTTATATATGCAGCAAAAATCTTTACCTAATGTTAGTCATACAATATTACCTATAGCCAACCTTTAGTATTATAATCAAAAATGCACTAAGGAGTAAACAGAAACTTATTATTAGTACTCCAATAAAATTTATCACTTTACAATCAATATTTAAGCTTCAGAATAAACAATTTATGTTCTTTTTTTGGGAAAAGATTTATTGTTATTTATACTTACCTACAATGTTATTCATAAGGTGCACAATGCACTCATCTCCTGTAATCCAAGGACGTTTTCCTACTTCATGACCATAACTTCCCCTGAAATGGAAAAAGGACACAGAAATACCTGAGCATTTTATTTTGGGAAATATTTTGGGCATTAGAAATTGACTGATTTCCAAACTAGTCTTCATAACTTATTTGTAATTATGAAAAATATTTTTAAGCAACAATATTTCAAAACTCTTTCAACTTGTCTATTGTCATGTTTTCTGGTTATTTTTCCATTGGGAAAATACAATTTATTTACATTTTTTCAATATTTATAATCTGATTTATTTTCCATTCTTTAACTGATTTCTTTCATTTACAATAAGATCATCAGGTATTAAGTCAACTGTGTAATCCCCTTCATAAACCCTGGTCTTAAAACCAGGAGAACAAGGACTAAAAGGCTAAAATAAAGTTAAAAATTTAGTCAAATATCTGCAAATTGAATAGGTTTGCATAATGTCATCATCTATATGATACCCCTTATGGATAACCCTTAAAAATATTGACCAAAATACCCAATTCAACACCATTCCCTGACTGACTGATTTTCTGCTAGTTCTTTCCATCTTTTTTCTCATAACTTTTTCTGGAAATTTCATTTAATTCAATAAAAATTTTGAATGCTTACTATGTATGAGGCATTGGACTAAATGCTAGGGAATACAATTAACTATTCCACAAACATTTATTAAGTACCTAAAATGTTCTAGGCACAAAGATTTAAATGGGGAAATTCCTCATCTTAAAGGCAGAAGATACAACACATGAACTGTTACGCATTAAGAAGGATAGGATAAGATGAGTCAAAAAAGAAATCTTGTCAAAAGTGCTTTAGCAAAGAATATTATCATTCAGAAGAATAACAAAGTCTTCACAGAATTGAGGTTCAAAGGAAAATAAGCAATCAGCAGAGTTTATTCATTTTCTACCATTCAGCATTTTAATTATTATCTAGAGATACAAAAGAAATATAATAAATAGGTCAGTTTATATATTGGCTAAATAGAAATAGAAGAAATCTCTTAATAAAAATAATAAGTGAATGTTTAGAAAAACATGTAAAAGGGCATATGAAACTTTAAAAAAGACAATGACTCATAAAATTGTACAGCTGAAATGAATCAATGAAACTCTAATCAAATCACTTAACCTCTCTGAGCCTCAGTTTTCTTAACTGTAAAATTAGGGGTTTCAAAGCCCTGTAAGGTTCCTTACTGTTCTAAATCTATGATCCTATGATAATTTAGTCTTAATTTTACTGCTGAGAAATTTTACTAACCTTAATTTTACTGATTAGAAAACTGACACCAAGAGAGGATAAATGACTTATTCAAGAGCATAAAAAGATATGGCAGAGCTATGACTAAGAACTTCCTCTCCTACATCTAAATCTTGTGTTTTATCCGACACAAATAAAGCTATGTATAAAATAAAAACAATAACTCAAACAGCACTTTATGGTTACAAAATTCTTACACATATATTATCCAGTTTGATTCTTGCAATAACTTTGTGAGATAAAGAATGTAATTACTACATCCATTAAGGAAATATATAAATAAGGGTCAGAGAAACAGTGACATATACACAAGAAATATACCTACTAATCATGGCAAAGAGAATTTTAACCAGGTATTCTAACTTTAAATTTAGTACTCTGTTCAGTTAGTTGCATATGTCTCAGCTAATAATTAACTAATAAACAGTTATTAAACACCTACTTATTTTTATTATTTTTTTAATATAAATTTATTTATTTTTAGTTTTCAACATTCACTTCCACAAGATTTTGAGTTCCAAATTTTTGCCCCATCTCACCCCTCCCCCCACCCGAAGATGGCATGCATTCTGAACATACATTCCCCTAGTCTGTCCTCTCTTCTATCTCTCCTCCCTTCTCTTATCCCCTTCCCCTTCTTTTTTCCTGTAGGGCAGGATAGACTTCTGTACCTCATTTCCTGTATTTCTTATTTCCCAGTAGCATGTGAAGATATTATTTTAAAACATATGTTTTTAAAACTTTAGGTTTAAAATTTTCTTTCTTCCTCCCTTCCCACCCACCCTCATTGAAAAGACAAGCAACTCAATATAGGTTGTACATGTGCAGTTATGCAAAACACTTCCATAGTAGACATGTTGTGAAAAACTAACTCTATTTCCCTTAATCCTATCCTGCCCTCCCATTTATTCTATTCTTTCTTTTGACCCTGTCCCTCCTCAGAAGTATTTGCTTCTGATTACCCCCTTTCCCAATCTGCCCTCCTCTCTATCATCCCCCTGCTCTCTTGTCCCCTTCTCCCCCTATTTTCCTGTAGGGTAAGACAGATTTCCATACCCAATTGAATGTGTATGTTATTCCCTCCTTAAGCCAAATCCTATGAGAATAAGATTCCTCATTCCCTCTCACCTTCCCCTTTTCCCCTCCACTGTAAGAGCTTTTCTTTTCTGTTTTTTTTGTGAGATAATTTACCCCATTCTACCTCTCCCTTTCTTCTTCTCATCCTCTCTCATCCCTTAATTTTATTCTCCAGATATGACCCCTTAATCTTCAACTCACCCTGTGCCTCTTCTATCTATCTATCTATCATACACATTAATTTTTTTCCTCAACTACCCTAATACTGACAAAGGTCTCATGAGTTATAAATATCATCTTTCCATGCAGGAATGTAAACAGTTCAATCTTAATAAGTCTCTTATGATTTCTCTTTCCTGTTTACCTCTTCATGTTCCACTTGAAAAGTCAAATTTTCTATTCAGCTCTGGTCTTTTCATCAAATGCTTGAAAGTCCTCTATTTCACTGAATGATCATTTTTTCCCCTGAAGGATTATACTCAGTTTTGCTGGGTAGGTGATTCTTGGTTGTAATCCTATCTCCTTTGCCCTCCGGAATATTATATTCCATGCCCTGTGGTCCTTTAATGTAGAAGCTGCTAAATCTTGTGTTATCCTGATTGTGTTTCCACAGTACTTGAATTGTTTCCTTCTGGCAGCTTGTAATATTTTCTCCTTGACCTGGGAACTCTGGAATTTGGCTATAATATTCCTAGGAGTTTTCCTTTGGGGATCTCTTTCAGGAGGAGATCTGTGGATTCTTTCAATTTCTATTTTGCCCTCTGGTTCTAATATATCAGGGCAGTTTTCCTTGATAATTTCTTGAAAGATGATTTTGATCATGGCTTTCAGATAGTCCAATAATTTTTAAATTCTCTCTCCTGGATCTATTTTCCAGGTCAGTTGTTTTTCCAATGAGATATTTCACATTGTTTTCTAATTTTTCATTCTTTTGGATTTGTTTTACAGTGTCTTGATTTCTCATAAAGTCACTAGCTTCCAATTGCTCTATTCTAATTTTTAAGGAAGTATTTTCTTCAGTAATCTTTTGGACTTCCTTTTCCATTTGGCCAATTTTTCTTTTTAGGGCATTTTTCTCCTCATTGGCTTTTTGGACCTCTTTTGCCATTTGGGTTAGGCTATTTTTTAAGGTGTTATTTTCTTCAGTATTTTTTTGGGTCTCCTTTAGCAAGCTGTTGACTTGTTTTTCATGATTTTCTTGCATCACTCTCATTTCTCTTCCCAGTTTTTCCTCTACTTCTGTTACTTGCTTCTCAAAATCCCTTTTGAGCTCTTCCAAGGCCTGGGACTGATTCATATTTTTCTTGGAGGCTTTGGATGTAGGAGCTTTGACTTTGTTGTCTTCTAGTTGTATATTTTGATCTTCTTTTTCACCATAGTAAGATAATATAGTCTGATTCTTTTTGCACTGCTTGCTCATGATTATAGCCAGTTACTTGAGTTTTAAACTCTTTGTTAAGGTAAGAGTCTGCTTCCAATGTGGAGAGTGTACTGTCCCAAGCTTCAGGGGTTTGTATAGCTGTTTTCAGAGATACTTGTAGGGACCAGTAAATTTTCAGTTCTTCCAAGGTGGTATGATAAGGGGCAAGCTGTTTACTCATTTCCTGGCCTGTGACCACAAGTATTCCTTTCTGTCCTATACTTGTGAGGAGGGGTTCCTCTCTACAGCCACTACAAGCTCCACCACGCCAGCACTCCTCCTCACCCCAGCACCACCTCCCAGAACTGTGATCCAGATCCAAACACGGGCAAAGCAAGAGATTCCTGCCTCAGCACTGGCAAAGAGATCCCTGCAGTCCCTCTCTGATCAGCCACTGGATTCCCCCTCAGTCTGTGGGCCAGAAGCTGGGGAAGCAGCTGCCCCCCCCCCACCAATGCCACACTCTTGGGGAATGGAGCTGAAACCCTGCCTTCCTCTCTGAGCACCGCAGAAACAGACTTTTCCCACTGACCTTCTAAGTTGTCTTTGGCATTGGTGGATTGAGGAGTCTGGAAGCCACCACAGCTGCTCAAGATTCAGTCCTCTGAGGCCTGCTCCAGGTTTGCTGCAGCCTGTGTGCCAACGCTGCACTGCGCTCCCAGCCTGGCACAATACACCTTTCTGATCAATCATCCAGGTTGTCTTGGGCTGGAAATTTGTTTCACTCTGTCTTTTTGTGGGTTCTGCTGCTTCAGAATTTGTTTAGAGCCATTTTTTTATGAGTATTTGGAGGGGTTTGGGGGACAGCTCAAGCAAGTCACTGTTTTCACTCCGCCATCTTGGCTCCACTGCCGGCTTAAACACCTACTTTTGAGGCAACTAGGTGGCAAAGTGGATACAGCTCTGGCCCTGGATTCAGGAGGACCTGAGTTCAACAAGCCTCAGTCAGACACATAACACTTACTAGCTGTGTGACCCTGGGCAAGTCATTTAACCCCATTGCCTAGACAAAACACACACACACACACACACACACACACATACACATACACACACACACACACCCCACCTACTTTTGTGTCAGGAATGTGCCAAATTTGGGGGATACAAAACAATGCAAAAGACAGTCCCTGTTCTCAAGCAGCTTACAAACTAATGGGGGAAACAACAGGCAAGTAAAAGTATACAAAGCAAGCTACTTACAGGATAAATAGGAAATACTAAATAGAGAGAAAGCACCAGAATCAAGAGGGTTTGGGAAGGGGTCTC